TGAGGGTAGGGAGCGACTGTTCCTAACTGTGTAACTTCAAGAGGTTGGTGAAGGCAGAGTTGACACTGACAGTCCCAAGCTGTGCTAAGCAAAGACAGAACATTCTTTTCTGAAGGGAAAGACTGAGGTTTTACTGTAGCAGGCAGAGGAGCCAGGTAAAGGATATCTCTGGAGTGGAGGGAGGAAGATTTCTAGCAGAACAGATTGGAAGCACAGTTTGAATTTTTTTTCCCTTCTGGTTTGATTCCTTCCCCCCCCCCCCCCCCCCCCTATCTGATTTGTCCGTAATTAGTACACAGTAATCAGCATATCTGTATCTGCTGGTATGTCTGCCTGCTTATTGCCTTAACATGGCTTGTGTCATTCTTGGTAATGTTCTTGTCTTGCTTACCTTTTGCTTGGAGAAGAAGGGGGTGGGGGGAGTGAAGGCACAAATGCCTTCCCTGGACTAGCAGGAAGATAAAACCACCATGATGATAGTTTTGCCTACTGGCCTTATTGCTAGGCAAGGTTTTTAGCAAGATCTAAGGAAAATGGACTTATGTCCACCTCAAATGGCCTCATTAATGGTCATGTAATTATGTTCAGTTAAGTCCTCTCTTACAAAGATCCCATTAGAAGCAAAGTCTTATGCTTGCCCAGGGCATCCAAATGTCTTGACTTCTAGGAATAAGGATAAAGGTTACTCAACTTTCTCTTTTCTCCTGGTCACAGGAAGCTTTGGCTTTCCTTGTTAAAAGGCTATTTTGTCATAGCTAGGAGTGGCTGATGATTGTTTCCCCTGATAGCATCAAGTACAGCATGGTGTGGAAGTATGTGGGCTCACTTTCTGGTGGGATAGACTCATCACATCAACTATCTTCTCTGACTCATCAGTTTAACTGGTTATTGTGTTTTCCTCTGGGCTTGTCCTCTTCCTCACCTGACATCCCTGTTATGACAACTCAGGCTTAACAATGACTGTGCCACAGCCACACGAATGTTGAGTGTCATGCTGTTGTCTGAGGTTCTTTTGCCCCACAGTAATACTTAGAGAAGACTGTAAGACTCTTGTCTGTAGGGAATGGTATTTCCCTGGTACACTTAAGAGAATATATTAGAGACTCAGCCCTGGTTTCTGTCAGCTTGTGCAAAAGGAACAGTGTTGCTCTGGAATTGTGTGCATGCTCATCCACTTGGGAGCAGCCAGCAGACCACAGAGTTTTGGCTACCTCTCCTTCCACCAGCTTCCTGACTCCTCTGAGGATTTTTGTTGTGCTTCTAGGCTTCTTGTCCTCTTCCTAATCTGATTGAAATAGGCCAACAGATTGAAACCCTATTTTGCAGGGGAGGGCAAGGATGATGTTGAGGGGATCAGTGGTATTAGCCTTGTTTCTTAAACCAGGCTAAAACCTGCATGTGCTATTTGCACCTGTTTCTGTGCTCCCCTCCTCCCCCCTTTCTCCTGTTGACTTGTGTTGGTGCAGTGAGCTCTTGTAGCCAGTGCCTTTGTGGTAGCAGAAAGTGTCTGTAGTGATGTCCCTATGAAACTAAACCTAACAGCACAGCTGTAAATATTAATGCTGAAGACTGTTACTGTATCAGTGCGAGGGAGTGAAACTGAACGGTTTTATCTCTGTAAACAAGAATCCTTGGGAATGTATGCTGTACTAGGCAGTCCTTTCTTTCTAGGGGCTGTCTCAAGCTTAACATGACTAAACAAGAATATTTTCTGCTAAAAAGTGTATCAGAGGAGACCAAAGCCTTCACTTCTGGAAGTGCAATGGGAGATGTCCTGTTACTGAAAGTAGTAAGAGCAGCAGTACCACAGTGGACTGCTGCTAGGAAACATTCTTAATTGAGATCTGTATTCAGAGGGGTGTTTGAGAATGGCAGGGCTGCATGAGACCCAAGGTCTGTCTAGTTCTGTCTTCTCCTTGAGGATGTTTAGGGGAGAATGCAGGCTTAGAGCAGATGAAGGTAACAATTTACAGTGTCTTGCCTCTAGCACAATGGCTTGGACATCTGAACTGGAGAGTCTCTAGGCTGTTTTCCTTTTAATTGCCTCTGGGGTTTCTGCCACCCCCAAAAGTTATATGTATGGTTTTTAGCAAGCAGTCATCTGTAGGTGACTAGGTCCTTTTCAAGAAAGTACTGCAGAGATTGCTTAGATAATTGGATCAAGCTGCGTTGGCAAGTAATAGCTATTAAAATGTAGAGCCCAAACTCCTTGTTTTACTACGGCTTTGAAAAGGACAAGTTCATGGTCTCCACCCAGTTGCTGAGAGGAAAGGAGGGGTTGAACTGTCTCCATCCCCGCTGAGTTCCTCCCACATGTTCCTCTAAGCTGGAGGAACAGGTTTTGCCAGATCCTCTAAGACGCTGCTGTATGGCTTCTAAGTAGATGCAGTTTTGGTGTTGGACAGGAGCTTGTCTTGATCCTGGAGGCCATGTTATACAGAGATGGGCAGTTTGTAACTGATAAATCACAAATCATCTCTAGAAGTAGGAATATTAAAAATATCTTGTGGAGACTTGTTTGGGTAGAGTGATGCTGACAGTGCAAGAAAGAGCTTGTCCAAAATAAGGATGTGCTGCCTTTCCCCTTGGGAGTGTTGCGTAGTGCTTGTTACTGCTGCTTTGGCCAGTGTTGGTCTCCAAGTCAGAAAGAAGAGTAACTCTAGTGAAAAAGAGGACTTTTAAACAGCTTTCTTCAGTTGTGTTTCATGTATAGCTGCTAAGCTAAAGAGGAGTGAAGAATGGCAGTAGGATTTTCAGCCTTGCTGCCCATTTCTGGTATAACAAGTAAAAGCAGAGAAGGGATGGGTGGCCAGTTCTGAAAATAGGGCTGGACTTCAGGATGTATGGTGAGCTCTTGGCTGATGAACTGCATGCTAAAGCACTGCATCTTGCTACTGTGTTAGTGTCAGCTGAACCTGGAGATGAAGGTACAATTTGAGTGTTAAAGGAACAGGATAGGTCTGGTTGTGACTTTGTCTGCAGGTATACAAGTAGTTTGTAACATTGTTTTTTCTTATGCTTTGGATTAACTTCTTCAAATTCTTCTTTCCAGCCACCAAAGTTCTTGGCACAGTCAAGTGGTTCAATGTCAGAAATGGATATGGCTTTATCAACAGGTATGTTTATATTATGATAGGCATGTTTGTACTGTACTGAGACTTGTGATACAGGTACTGTGCCCACGACATACCAATGCATCATTAGTAGCTGCAGGACACCTGAGGACCTGACTGCAAGTTTGTGTCAGCTTTGGCAAGGCATTCAGCAAACTTTTTTCTTAAACACCCTCCCCTCCCAATCAAAGGTTGTGTACGGGGAGAAAACAGAAAGGGTCAAACTCATTACAGACTTGGCCTGTTACCTGTTTGTCATATTTGCTTGTGCTACACCTTTAATCAGCTGCATGTTCTTTGACTGCCTGGTTTGTTTTACAAAGGTGACTAAGGTAGGAGGATGAGGAGAAATACTTTTGGGTAAACTTCAAGTGTTAACTGATTGGTCAAAATAGCTCCTGTGGATACACATTGAGATGTCCTAATAGCATCTGACTGAAAATACTCCAGGCCTGGTTTCAGAGAATCTTTATATCTTTTTTTCTCCTCTGAACATGAACAAACATCTGAATGGTATTGATAATCCAAACAACTGTAGGTGCTATTGATTTCATTGCAACCTTAGGTGCACAAGATCCATACTTCCATGTTACTGGAGGAAGCTCTGTCTTTTAAGGCTGGAATGTCTCTGGGGTTCGGGGTCTTAAATGTCTTGAGTGCTTCATGAAGAATGAAGGTCCTGCATGCTGAATGCTTGCCTTGCAAAAGATATACCTGGCAAGTTATTTCATTCTGCAAGTCCTAGCACTGTTACTCAGCAGGTAGATTTGGGTAAGTTGGACAGTGCAGAAAGAGGTAGAAAACCCCATTTCATGGATCTGAAGCCAGTTCTGGTGTGGTATTAGTGTCTGGAGGTTACTATCCAGTGTTACACAAACTTAGGAGAAAAGTTTGAGTTGGGAAGTACTCTTAAATTTTTTTATTGCTGTTGAGGTGAGAGCCTTCAGCTGTATATGGTATAGTGACTTTTTAGCTTTCTTCCTTAAAGGGAAGTCTGCTATTGCTTCAATCCAGCACAACAAGTTTTGCATTATGCATTATCTTCACAAACTCTGACCTGCCTGTTGTGTTTGCAGAGCAGCAATCGAGTGAGCAGATGGCAGGGTTTAGGCTCTCTTGTTGTATGGGAGCACAGAATCAAGGTCTCAGGCTTATCTTCTCGTTTTGTGTGTGGAAGCCTGAACTGTCTGCCCTAAGCCAGACAACCTCATGTTCATGTCTGGGTCTCCCTCCAATGGACTCTGCTAACACCTCTCGTGCCTGGTTACTTTGGAGTTTTACTGAAAGGAGATCTCTGTTAACAGCTGTGGCCAGTCCTGTTGATAGTCTTGTTTGACCTCCTGGGTAACAGCTCAGGTTGCAGTCCCTGTGGAAGTGTTTTTGGGGAGTTAGAATAGTGAAAAACAAGCAGTCTAGCTACTAACTCTGCCCTGTGTCAAAACAAAACATTGATCGTTTGCCAGAAGATTACAGAGAACCTCTCCCTGTCCTCTTGCACTTTTGAACGCTGGGGACTCCTTTCTGCTCTCAAGCGTATGACCCCAGAAACTGAGGGTAGTGCAGACTTAGGCAGAATGTATGGAATTCAGGGGATGTGCTACAGGCTGGGAGAAGGAGGGTTTCACTTGTAAAGCCAGGAATTTCTATTTAAGTCTTTTAGTCTAAACTCATGACTTCTCACGTTCTTTTCACAGAAATGATACCAAAGAAGACGTGTTTGTTCATCAGGTAAGACAGCAGTAATTGTACTTAGAGATGTGTACTATGATAGGTTTTTAATGTGACTCTCTGGAACAGGCATCCAAGTTTGTCCTGACTTCTCCTTAAAATACTGCAGGTACCTTGAATGGATGTGTATCTTGAAATTCTCAGAGAGGAATAGTAGATTATGTTTTCCTTCTCTGGAGTTTAACTGAAGGGCTAGGTGTTATAACCCTTCATGTTTTCTTTTATCTGCTCCAGTTTGAACACTAAAGGTGTTTGTGACTTTTTTTTTTTTTTTTGCTGTGAGTTTTGTTTTGTTTGATTGTCTCCCTTGGGGGGGGTGACTGCTCAGTTTGTAAATACCTTGTTACTTGTGAGTCCTTCCCCCCATTTCCTCATGCTTCTTGTGTCTTTTGTTTCTTCCTGCCCTCTTCATTTGCAGGTCTGTTCTGTCTGGCCTTCCTGGTATTGGAGAGAAAATGATCTAGTTTGGCTCTTGACCAGCCTGGGTTGCCATCAGCTGTTGCTGCATGAGGCAGCTGCTCTTAGGAAGAAGAGGAGGAAGGCTGTGTGCCAAGTGTGCCCAAGCAGAGAGAGGTTGCCCAGCAGCTTGTCATTGGTTAACTTTCCTTGAACTGTCAGGAGGCTGTTCTAAGTTTATACTGTGACTCAGGTTGCAGGCAAATAATGGCAGGACAGAGGATGCTGTCTCCATGCTGATGTAGACTGATTAAGTAGCTTAGATCTGGTTTTGCACCATTTGCATCATTCACCAGAAAATGAGATACTGTCCTTGGAGCTTGTCCCATATGAAAGGTCTGCTCATGTGATCCTTAAACGTGTGAACTTTCTCTGTGGCATAACTGACAGTATTTCCATCAAATGTAGCCAGGAAACTTGTACTCAGAGCTGGTCACAGAGGATGAGGATATGTGCATATGTAGTTAGTTGCGTCAACATTGCCAGTAAGTTTAGTTCTTGTGGATTCATGACTAAGTAGCCTGTGATAACTGTTTCTCTGAGTCATTATCTGAACTGGATGAAGCTGGGAGGGAGTAAGTCTAGTGCCTGCAATGAGTGAAGATGATGTTGGGAAGTATGTGCAGCACATGCTCCTGATTCAGTTGGTGGACTTAAGAGCAAGAACATGTTCCGATTTTTTAATATTTTTTTTAATGGCAGTTCCCCTTCCTCAATGACCTGTGCTGTGTGTGCATGTTGATACATCTGTGGTCTGATGGGATTGTGTCCAGAGGAGGGTGGGAAGAGTTCTAGTAACAAGCACGTTCTGGGTAGGCAGCACTGGTAAAGTACTTTGAAAGCAAGTGAGGTCTCCTTGATACCTGTGAGAAGATATCCTGGAAAATGGCTGTTGTTCTGATGATAGAGAGAACTTGGATCAGTGTTGTTCTGTGGAGACCCAAACAGCAAGTTAGTGTTATCTGTGCTGTCTCCTTCACCCATAAAGAAGATTATTCACCTAAATGTAAACTGGATGGTCTGTGTGGAGGGGGATGGGAGTGGGAACTTCCCATCTGTTGCTGACGTCCTTTCAGTGAGCACTGAGTAAGACATTTTTTCCCCGAAATACCACATCATGTGCAGGCTTGTATCCAATTAACCCTCTTGGGCTGAGCGTGGCAGAGCAGATACTTCCCAGCTCTGGCCTGTTTTGGCTGCAGTTGGATGTTCTTCAGTGCTTCTGTCCCGAGCTGTTCCTGTACATGGATGTCCTCACTCCCAGAGCCTGGCACGTTCCGGCCGGAGCTTCTGACTGGGCCACCCGGCGAGGGAGGCAAATCCATGGTGTGAGCAAACATCCTGCTTCGAGCTCCCCCTCCACCGTTAGTGCCGGCCCTGCCCCTCCTCCCTGCGCCCGGCCCGGGAGGGGCTGGATTACATGCCTAATCCCTTCAGAATAAGGCTGACCTAGTTGAATAGATACAGCCTCCTCCCTGCCTCCCCTGCATGCATCCGCATCGGGGAGGGAACAGGGCGATCTCATGATTGGAATGGGGGTTAATGCTTGGTGTCTGGCTATTGGGTGCTATTTATAAACGTAGTACAGATTAAAATGCTTTTCTTTTTAGGGCATGCATGGCTTGCTTTGAGTTAACCCTTTGTCTTGCAGGGGACCCAAGCAGTGTTTTTGGGCAGGGCAGCTCTTCACCTGCTCTGTCTTGCTTGTGTCCTTGTCTGGCTGGTTTGTGGAGGTGCTGTCTAGGGCACTGTGTCAGTCAGCTACAGGTAGTCTGAGCAGTAGGGATCAATCTGCCTCGTGGGGTGGGGGGTGTGTGTGTGTGTGTGTGTGTGGGGAGGGTCTGGCAATTTAACATCACTAAAAGTGTTAATAGCCAGAGAAGTCTAATTTAATTAGGCACAGTTTGAATCAACAGGCAGTGAGGAGGACTTAATCTCTTGTGCTGTACAGGTCTTTCTTCACTGGATTGTGTTGATTGTGCACAGCCTCGTGTACGTGCACCAGTAACTGGTCTAACAAATTTTGACTGGTACTGTGACAGTGCTGGATGTGCACATGTCGTGGTGGTATGAGCGTACTGAAAGAACTCTTTCAAACAAAACCCTGAACTAGCTATGAAGACTCCTGTAGCTGCCTGTTCATCAGTGTCCCCTTGGGAAAGGAAAGGCTTTGTTGTTGTGTGCTGTCTGTGTTAATATAAAACATCTGTCTTCTGAATCAGAACTGGAGTCTGCAGGATGCTGGTAAACAGTAACAGGGAGAATAGTGCTCTCCTGCCTCTGGAAACACTGAGTAAAAGTCTTCTCATCAAGCTTAGAGTTTAGGCTTGTTAGAGGCTTATTTCAGCAATGTTTACCTGCGGCTTGAAGTAGTAAGTAGTAAAGCTGTATAGTTTCTGCTCAGAATTCTAGGATTTACTCAAAATTGCTCTGATTGCCTTTATAAAACAAGCTCCAGCCTACTGTGTGACAGCCTCTGTTTCCTGTGGGCAGGTTATTCAATTGCAAATCTGAATTTTTGAAGTTTGTCTCCTAAAGCTGGAACAGAACATGTGGAATCCTGTTGATTTTATCTTCCATTAGGCTTCTTGAAGGCTATTTGAAGAGCTTCATTAATCTTAAGTACACACTCTGCTGAAAAGAAATTTGTTAGTCCTTTTTTCCTCTGCCCTTAGAAGGAAGAGGAAGGAGTTTGAAATACAGTTTATTGGCATCTCTGTCGTGTGCAAAGCACAAGTCTTATGAGTTTGTCAGTTGTTTCAATAAAAATAGTACTAAATCATTAAGTTTCCTGCAGTTTAAGGGTTTTAGTATTAGTATATAACACTTATGGAAAACTGAACACCTTTGATTTGTAGAAATGGAACAGTTACACTAAAAGGTCTGCAGAAAGCAAGCAAAGTTGTCTCAGCTGATGGTGGGAGTCTCTGCTTGCTGAAGTAATTCCCAGAAGAATTCACTTGAGCAGCACATTCTGTTGCTGTATTAAAAAAACCCCAAACCTCTTGGGTTGTTTTTGCTTTGGTAGTAATAATAGGTACACTCCTGCATTCTTCCTTAAGCCGTTCAGGGACACTGCAGGGTACAGGGAAAGGTGTGGCTAGATGCAGGGCTAGAAGGAGGTGCTGGCCTGTTGCCCAAAACACAAAGGAGATTGTATTCAGCAGCAAGGAGAATACATTTCCTAAACTGGTCAAGATCAACTTTCAACTGATTAAATTTTTTCTTCAGTGGGAATATTTTTGGGCTGTTGTTGACTGAATGAATATTGTTGCCACGCACAGGCAACAACTCCACAGATCTTCATTCTGCCTGTTTTTCTTAAACTGCAGACAGATATGACAACTGTCTCTTCTGTTTCTGCCTTGCATCCCAGTTCTTAAGCCAGATTTATGCCCTGTCTTTCTTTGTGTATTTCTGTCTACTGGTTCTATACCTGCCTCCTTCCTGCCAACAAAAGATGCTCATATCAGGGAACTTAAAATGAATTGGTTAATTGGTAAATCTAACATAAATCCAGTTAAAAAAAGGCTACTGCATTGGTTTGTACAATGAGTGTCTTGGTTATGTTTGGGTCTTTCCTCCCTTGGCCTCTTCCAGTTTGTGAGCCCTTATCTAATGAACAGATAGGAGGCTTGTCCTGCTGATTAGCTTTTGTGGGGGCCTGGAAATACTCCACAGCGTAAAAGGCATCTGTAGTTAACAGACTGAAAATCACTCCCAGGAGGTTTGAGGGTTCCTTTGAGGAGGTATGCATCTGGTTTTGATCCAAATCCATGTTAACAGTATCTTGGGTTTTCTGTCTAGGAAATGGCTAAGACTGTGTGTGTCTGTTCTGGTACTGTTCCTTTTCTTTAGGGACTCACCTAATTTTTGTAGTTTCCCTTGCAGTGCTTAGGTAAAATGCTTGTCTGTGTCACACCAGAGTTACGGTAATTCCTTTCTAGTTACTATGAATTGCCATGATACCTCACAGTTATTGCTGTCTGCTACAAAAATATTCCTGGTCTTGAGTTCTCTGTAGATGGTCTAGAGATTTCCTAATGCCTGTGAAGACATGGATCACTCTTGCTGCTGGAGTTACCTTGGTACAGCTTGCATGAGATCAAACACCCAGTGTGAACTCTGTTCATACAGAAATTTTTAGTGATTTGGTAGGCCTGACAGAGCAGCTCCTGGGGCAACAGTTGATTTGTAAACTCATAAGAAGTAAGAAAAGAGTAAACCTTGACTGAGTATTGGTGGGGCCTATGGAATAAGAGAGACATCAATGTATTTGAAATATCTTGGTGTGGCAATTGATCTGGTGCGTAGGGTTGGGATTGCAGCAGAAAATACTACCCTTTCCTCATCTACAGGGCTATGAACAGGTAAGATAAGTAACATGAAATAACCTTCTGTATCTTCTTTCTTTAAAGACAGCGATAAAGAAAAACAACCCCCGGAAATACCTGCGCAGTGTTGGCGATGGAGAGACCGTAGAATTTGATGTGGTTGAGGGAGAGAAGGTAAGAGATTATGGAGTCTTGGGTTGTAGTCCAACAGAGTCAACATCACTCTCATGGGGAGTAGCACAGAACATAGCTGTATATCTGGTGGTTTTGTCTAGTGTGTTAATCCCTGGGGTGGGTGGCAGTCACAGTTTTTCTGTGGGAGATTTTTTTTTTTCCAAAGGCTTCATTAAGATGTATTTCTAGGTATGTATCAGAACTAACTACATCCTAGTACTTCTAGGATCTGTAAGTTTTACATGATAGAACATTTGAAACTTGTAGCCTGCCCAGTAATCGTTAACTGAGGCATATATTGCCCTGAAGAGTCTGGTAGCTTAATAACTGTAAGAACCTTCAAGTTCTTGACACTTCTGCTTTCTCAAACATTTTTTGAGGGTTATGGGATTTTCCTTTTGGTTTTTGCCTTCTCCTCTGAACTGAGCCTGATGGATAGGATCTTAACTCATGATCATAACTCTTGGTTACGGGGCTGGCAATAACAAACCTGCTTTGCGCTGTGTGGGAGAAAGGAATCGCTGTAGCTTGGAACTTACATGAAAAAGCCTCTTCCGTAGAATCATGGAATTTAAGGGTTGGAATGGACCTTACAGATCTAGTCCCAACCCCCTGCCCTGGGCAGGGACACCTCCTCACTAGATCAGGTTACTCAAGGCTTCATCCAGCCTGGCCCTGAATACCACCAGGGTGGTTTCATTTTCTCCCTGTGGCTGGTGGTCCTTTTCTCACACCACCCTGGATGACTGTCTTGTGTCCCTTTAGGGTGCAGAAGCAGCTAATGTCACTGGTCCCGATGGAGTCCCTGTCGAAGGCAGTCGCTATGCTGCAGACCGGCGCCGCTATCGACGTGGCTATTTCGGCCGACGCCGTGGACCACCTCGAAGCGTAAGTTTCATTTCTTTAGTGGTGCTCAACCACTTCCTCTGCAGCTCTCCTGGTCTCTCATGACAGGGAGCTACACATTCAGCACTGGCATACAGTAAACTGTCAATGGTCACGTAAGTTGAGTGTTCTTCAGTAATATTGTGGGTTCCTCCAGCACATCATTGATGTTAATACTGATATTTTCTTGTAGGCTCTTCCTTGTCATGTTTTTCTAGAATGTGTTAAAAGTATCTCTTTGGGTGTTCAGGTATCTGTTGGTTAGAAGAGTAAACACAAAGGAGTGATACACCTGAGTGGTTTGCCATGCCCTTTACCTGAAGCAAGTATATAACCATGACTTGAAAGGTTTTCTTGGGAAACAAGATTTATTTTAGGAGTTCATCACTTTTTCATGGAATGGTAGTAGTTCCACCAACTCGTTGAACTTCCATGTACCTTCAAAGGCCTCTGCCTACAGGTGTTCAGTATAAAGATAATGGTGTTTAGTTTTTTGGTTTTTTCCTTTAAACTAGCCGTGCACCACTTTTCATTCCATCTGCAAGGCTTTCTAAGCAGCTTCCCTGCAAGTTTTTGCAGTGGGAGGAGTAATCATAAGGTACGTAACTGTAGTCCTAACAGTTATTGCTCCTGTCCACATTGTGCTTCTGCAAATTTGGTGCCTGGAACAATCCAACAAGCTGGAACATACTCCAGGCTTGATTATATTTTCTTTCATAGCTGAGTCTGTGATCATCACTTGCAGAAATGTGAGAATGATCCAATATGACAGTCCCAGTGGAAGTCTCTTCTGCAAGAGTTTACAGTACAGGGACAGACAAATCCTTCCTTAAAGCCAGTTGTTTATAGCAGCTCTCATTAGGTCTTTTCTTTAGTTCTGCTGGATACCACTGAGCCTTTAAATACATGAAAGTATTTTCTGAATACCTTGGAGATGACTAGATGTTGGTGCTGGTAACTGATGGTTTATTACTGTGTCTGTTTTTGAGGTGATAGAATTTGCAGCTTCACCTTTCACATCAAGTGGCAAAGAACTAGGAAACTTGGTTTTGTTCAGCTTTGTCATGTTTCCACTCTTACCTATTAGCTCATCAGTCAGCTACATTCCAGTATTGATTCTGATTCTTTTTCTTCTCCTGAGATTAAGAACTCCTTCAACTGTCCTTATTGGGAGCGAATCCTTTAGTTGATGGTATTGGTTCTGTCTTGGAGTTGCTTCAGATTTTAAATGAACAGACATATCAAGGCTTAGACAACCCTGTGTACTGCTGAATATGGAAAGCAGCTGTTTGTTTCTGCCCAAAGAGACCCAATTCTGACATGGGGAACATTCGGTCTTGGGGAACTTGTCCTGAGAGATGTTCTCTTATCTGAGGTGAACTCAAGCAGCTAGAACTCTGCCTTGCATGACTTGCATAATAACACACTTGGATCCCAGTACTTGAAGATAATCACAATTTGTAACCCATGTGTGTATCATCCTACTTTCCTTTGGCTTGCTTATATCTGAAACCCCAGACTGATTTAGTGTGGGTACCAGACTTTAGCCATTGTGTGGCTGGTCTTACAAAGTCATGTCTCATTTTGTAATCTAAAACCTACTGCTCTTTCTCTGGGATCATTGTATCTAGAAGAATTACAGCCTTCAAAACTTGCAGATGATAATTTACAAAAGGACATTAACCTGGATGTTCATTGTTTCCTATTGGTCATAAGGATTGTTGGTCCTTCTCTTTAGCTTGAATATTCTCTGAAGGTCAGGCCTTCCCATCATGCACTGACTGCTCCTCTGGGTTTGACATCATCTCTTAAAATTAAGAGTAAGTTCTGCTTCATTCAAGGATGATGATCTGATAGTACCATTTCCTTAGCATGCCACTCTAATAGGTAGCAAGGGAAATGCCATCATTTGTGTGACATTTGGAAAATGATACTGGCCAGCTCCTTCAGCACTCCCAAATGTATCCTGGATCATCTCAAAGACTTGTGTGTGTAAGACCTTTTAAAGTAATCCTTCCCCTTCATGTTTGAGATCAGTCAGGAGTTCTGTGTGCAGCCAGATATGATGTTCTTGCTGTTCTGTTATGCCTGCTCTACTTTCTGCATGTTGCAGACCCTTTTTGTTTTGAGCTAGCTGGAGGTGCAACAAGTTCTGCTGGATGTTATTACCCACTCACTTTTATTAGTAGCCTTAACAAGTCAAAGCTTCGCTATGAGGAAGTCTTTGCAGGAACTGCAAAGGGCTGTGCAGGACTGTCCCTGGTTATCCTAGTGTAGGTCAGTGAAATAACTCAAGCTTGTCCAGATACTCCTGTCATCCTCCTTGTGCTTGTTTTGATAGATAATTGAGATGGAGTGAATCCTCATTTGGAACTAGCAGTATTTCCCTTTTGGAACTAGCAGTATTTGCCTTGGAGACTTTTTCACTTGTATCAGTTAACACAATCTTCACATTGAAACCACATGTCTACTGTGTCTAGAAAGATGCTTCTTTCTAATATACTTTTCCTTTAACAAGGCCTCTCTTTCCTGTTGCATTTCCCTGTGTGAAAAGGGAAGGTAGCAATGTCTGTGAGCCATAGCAGTTATGTGTGCAGTATTCTGGGGAGTCCAATAAGAGGTGCATTGAAGGCTGTGCCTCTTTACTCGAGGAGGTGTTGCCAGCTCTTGGGCACTCTTGAGCTGTGTTTGCTAAGAGTGTGTTTACTGAAGTGTTGACAGCGTTGACATGGCTTAGAGGTGTGTCCAGAATGTTACAGACAATGAATCCTGGAAAAACCTTGCAAACTAATGCTGTCCTTGTCTGCACTACTAATAGAAGAAACCTCTATACCAGTGAGTCAGAAAATAAGCTAAGTAGTTTGAGAGCTGTTTTATAGGCTGACACTACTTGTAGAGAGAAGCCCTGAAAAGATGAATAGTATTATGCAAAAGCTAGAGACTGATCTGAAGGGATCCAGGAAAAAATGGAGAAACTGGGGGAAGTAGATGGGTAAAGAGTTCATTGCAATTAGTTAATGCTTACAAAACTCTTCTTTGGGGGACAGCAATAAAACTTGGTACCTTTTTAGGGTTAGATAATATGTGGGAGATCTTCATGGGAAGTCACAGCCTGTCTGCTTATCTTGGTGGCCTTCAGAGGGAAATGTAGAATGCAGCAGAGCTGCTTCATTCATTTGTGCTTTAGTGTGACCTAATGTTTTGTCAGAATGTATACACTGAGTTGGAAGGTTTCTGTGGAGGGGATTGAGTGAACATGTGTGTGCTAGACATGGTGTGATGCTTTTAAGAGTACAAATGAAGCTTACCTAATAAATTATTCTAATATACTTACTATCATATGGCGAAACAAGGCCTCAAAGCTTGGGTTCTGTTTTCTGGTCAAATGACACCTGTTCCAGTGACTTCTAATAGCACAGTTGTTTGATTCTGGAGCTGTACTTCACTTCTGATCAATTGACAGTGATACTAGTGCAGTGTATTCACTGAATTATTGTGCTGCCATAGGAGATGCACAAAGTCATCAGGACTTCTGGGCTAAGCAATTCAGTTGCTTTGCTATTCTGTTTACAGCTGATTGTTTAAGCCAAAAGCATTTAAAATACTGATATAGCAACATTCAGTTCAAAATGTATAGGACAACATTTGCATTGGTTTTCAGTATTGCTTCATCAGGTCTAGTCATTCTTTCCATTGCTACAGGAGGTGGAGTCTTTTAACTGAGATTCCAGTCCAGCCCTCTGCAGGGAGGAGTGGGCTTGGGCTGTGCCATGAAAAACAGGTAGAAATTCAATACTGCCTTTTTAAAGAGTTGTGAATGTGATGCTGATAGTCAAGTGCTATAGAAGAGCTTTAGCTGACAAAAAATGTTGAGTGCTCCTCCCTGCAATTAGGTTTGTTAGCTTCTGGCATATTGTCCCCCCAGATAAGACCTACTAGGCCTTTCCGGTTCCATATTTTAAGCCCTGCAGCACTAGAACCAAGCACTCATTCCACTTGTGCTTGCTCAGAAGTCCGGGAGAAAAGAAATGACAGCTGTGCTGGAACATGTTCAAGATGGCTTTAGTTTTGTCTCCTTTCTTCCCTTCACATCTTGTTGCACTGTTCTGTTTCTGTGCCTTGCCAGTCCTCGAGAGGAAGACAGTGAGAGTGAGAGCAGGAGCAGCAGCAGGTCCTTGATTCACAAAAGGCAAATACCAAGGTCTCTGAATTGCTGTTGCCACACACAATACTGGCAGTGTCATTTCTCACTCTCTGAAGCATTTCTGACCGTGCATCGTAGGTCTAAAGCTTTCAAGTTATGTAGTACAAAATATTTTGATAAAAGCAAAACAATTGGTATTGCAAAGCAGATAAGTAGTATAAAGCTGTTGTAATGCAGGTAGCTGAGAGATTGCCTGTTAGAGCAAAATATGATGGTGATGGTTAAAATGACTGTGTGGAATTGGAAGAATACCTGTCAAACTTAATGTAGGCCACTAAAAGCTGTCAGGAGGCAATAGCTTTTGCTTCCTACTGGATCAGATACAGAAGATGAACTTCTGTTTCCAGATCTCTTGTTAAATTCCTGCTTTTGAAGGAAAGAATAGCACACTGGGAACTGTAAATCCTGTAACATTTTGTGAAGCAGGCATTGCTGATTGCTGGCACTTAAAAACCAAACTAGAAAAAAGCCCCAAACTGACATGCAGCTTTATCAGTTAACAACTAAAGGGGAAAGAAAGCCACTGCATCTCTGAAAGGTTGAAAATGAGTGTGTAGAAGAGTATTTGACATATGTAGCACAGTTTTTCTCTATCTCTAAATTCCTTGATGTTTTGTGGGAGCTCTCTGGAGTGGGGCTTTGTGTTGGGTGGAGCTAGAAGTGGTCTCTGTTAGGTTTCTGTGTGATGTCTTCCAGTTAGCTTTCCAAATCAGGAAGTGTCCTGATCAATAGGTGCCTCTCCATAGCAGGATTGAAATGCACTTTAATATGCATCAGAGAACTCTTGTGATCTCTGCCTTTCCTGGCAGACAGGGAGGAAGCATCATCAGGTAACTTCTTGGTCTGTTACTGTGAGGAACAGCAGCAGCACTGTTGGCTCGGGTTTTGTCCTCTTCTTATCTTTGCCCAAATTAAAGCCTTTTGAGAATTTGCTGCTGCTTTTCACCTGACATGCTGGTGTTTCTGAACTCATACTGGTTTTGAACTTGCATTCAGGTCAGTTGGGTTTATAATTAATATACTGCTGGTCAAATATGGCAACACTTCATCTTTGACATTGTCTTCTGTTTTCTTTTGGTTGCAGGGTGGCGAGGGAGAAATCAAGGATGGGACCACAGAAGGAGGACAACTTCAACAAGTGCACAGGAATCCTACCTACCGTCCCCGCTACCGCAGGTCTGTGCTGTTCCCTTTGCTCATAATGATCTTTGGATGCTTGTGTGTTCTACACAGGCTTCGTTAGGTGCAGGAAGCTGTGCTCCTTGGCATTAACATGTATGCAAATGGTAGGGACAGTGAGAAGCATTTTAATTACTGAGAGAAAGGTGGGCCACAGGAATAAGGAAACAACTGTAGAATTTAATGTGCTTCTATGTTGTTTCGGGGTATATTGGTCAAGAAAGGGCAAAGAATTCTTTGTATCCCATTACTTCTCACAGTTGAGCAACATACTGAGCTGAGGTGCAGGGTCCATTTCCTGGATAAGTAATAAATCCAAATCTGCTGTGATCTGGGGACAGCTAGGCCCACCGTGTGCTGGGGCAGGTGTGCTTTGTAACATTTCTTGTGGACTGCAGGCAGTTTGCAGTTTGGCACTGGACTAGTATCTTATGCTCATTGATCTCAGTCCTGTGTGTTGCACAGACTTGGTTTTATGCCCTGGTGCTACTTGTAGGTACGGGGAAGGCCTACTATTCAGTAAAACCCAGAGTTGTGTCCTACCTCCTACAGACCATTAGATTCTATGGTAGCATTACATTTACCCTGTAGTACATCCTGTGCTAGAGAAGGGTGTTGCTGTCAGTCAAGATTTAAAGTTTAGGTTCCTTAAAGACTCCTAAAGGAGAAGTTAACAAAACAGGATTATTAGAGTTAACACTTGCTAGAATTTTTGGGGAAAGGGAATGGTAAAGTGCCTGGAGACCTTTCAGAATAATAAGAAAACTCATCAAAGTGATTGAAGAGGAACAAATGTGAGAAGAGTGAAGTGATTGAAGACTCACACCATTAATTATTAGTAGGACTGGGCTGGTATGTAGCCACACCAAGGCTAATTTAGCAGAATCAGTCTGTGTGGCCACTACTGGCTTGTTTCTTCACCTAGCCAGCAATTCCAATGGGCTAACTACATCTTCATTGTAGGATAGACAGTAGAATATGCTGATGTGGCTTCAGCAGTGAAGAGACACCCACCTTGCTTGTCTTTGCTTTTTGACTGTATACCAGGCAAACTCCCAAGGGATGGTTTGCTAGCAATCAAAATTGTGGAGGATGGTACTTGGTTAGGGAAGGATCGGCTGAAATTATTGTATTTAACCTTCGTGGGCTTCTTTAATGTGTCACACCTGTTTCTCCCCCTGTTCAGAGGGCCCCCTCGTCCACGCCCTGCCCCAGCGACTGGAGAGGCTGAAAACAAAGAGAACCATCACGAGGCCAATGCTATGAGTCAGCAGCCAATTCGCCGTGGGTACCGGCGCCCGTACAACTATCGGCGTCGACCCCGTCCACCCAATGCTCCAGCTCAGGATGGCAAAGAGGTGAGCGTGCTCCTGGCACCATGTGGCACAGGCTGAGGCTTAGCTGGGGTCAGTGCTCAAGACCACCTGCCCTGTGTGAGTTTTTAACAAGTGTATGGGTGCTGGAGGAGTCAGACCAAGTCTGAAGTGCTGATGGTTGAAGGTAGGTAGTTTCCTTGCCTGCTTCTTCTGACCTTCTTGGAGAACGAGCAGCTTATCTTAGATGGAACCAGCAGTGGGATAGGGATTGCTTTTGGATTGTTCTTAACTGGGGGCAGACTGTAAACTATTTTTGAAGCAGAGAGAAGCAGCTGTTTTCCAGCTTCCTCAAACCTTCAGTCTGTGTGTAGTGTAAGAAATGGATTTGAAAGCTCCAGATACATTTCCTGAACTGCTTGAACCAGATTGTTTCAGGGAACTGTTTGCAAACACAGACTTGACCTTAATGAGAAGGTTTTCTCATTCTGTCTGCTTGAGGTGTTCCCCTGACAGAATCTGCTGTGTAATACTCAATTACAAGAAATGCAGTTTAATATTTCTGGAGATGAATTTTCCTTGGTTATTTCCAAACCTGGGTTATGCTGGCTGTAGGAAGGGTCTGGAAGTCAGTCTGTGCCTATAATGAAGGTTTCTTGTGTCTCAGACAAAGGTAACTGAAACACCTGCTGATGCTCCTGCTCCGGTGGCAGAGCAGAGTGGTGCTGAGTAATGTCCGGCTCCCCAGGCACCTTTACCACCCCTCAGGTAAGGAATCTGGATAGCTCCTGCTCTCCAGCTGAAGCAGCTTTGTGTTATACTTCTAGGACTTGGGCTCTGGCCACATCCCCATATGTATGGCTAGATATGTGTGATAAGTTCTGAGAGTGCTGTGTAGGCAAACCAGGAACATTGCTGCTTTTCTCTTCTTCCTCTCCTCTGTGTCTGTATCTGTCACAAAGTAAGTTTTGCTTTAGAATTGATGTTTTCAGGAGGCTCTGTCTGGTCTACATAGTAATAGCATCTGCTGATGAGCTAGTAGTGAAGATCCTGATTACAGACAGGACAAGCCAGTAGTGTTTCTCCTGTCATAACTTTTTACCTGATACCTTGCCTATTCAACAAGAAAATGAAACTTAAACTGCATTTATCTTTTTCTTTTCAAATTTGGCTCTTTAACAGGTGTCCTAAAAGTAACACCAAAGAAACACACAAGCAATAAATTGTCAACAGTGATGACGAAAGCAAAGATTTGAAATACTGTAATGTAAAAGAAAACAAAACTTACCAGCAGCTGAGTTCCAGGGAACGCCTACAAGATAAATGCATGAAGAGAGAAAAAGAGAGCGAGATTGAGAAAGAACAACCTCCCTAGTTTAAACAGCAACTGTGGGGCTTTTGTTTTTTGGGTTTTTTTGGTGGTTTTTTTTTCTGGAATTTCACTGTTTTGCTAGTATTGAATTTTTCAATTTTTCTTTTGGTATCAAACTGAAAAGGGAAAAAAAAAGCAACCAAAGAACTGAAAATTAAATCAAATGCTTTTTTTATTGGATGCTGGTGCTAAACCTCCCAAGTGTGATGAGTTTTTTTTTTTCTGTGCCAGTCCTGTTCACTGCAGGACATGGGGAGGAGAAACTTCCGCTTTCCTTGTTAAGATCATTTTGAAACTGCAGCATGGGTGACGTTCCTCACAAATAAAAGTGATTACAACTACCCAACAGTCTGGTTTAGTATGTTTGTTCATGTTTACTTTTAAAATAATTCATCTTGTGGCTTTAGCATTTATATGTGAAAGAGAGCTGGCTCTTTGTGTGTTGATGTGTCTTGTCTAAAACCATCCTGGATGATACATGTGCATGGTTAGGTGGATATGCTTCAAGCCAAAACAACTTTTGCAAAGAAGTTATACCACAGAGCTATAACCCACACTGTCCCCTCTGCTCTTCTGGCTGAAATGATGGTTGGATTCTTCTGTTAGTAGTTTGTGGCAGGAGTCTAGGGGATGTGGAGTGAGTTCCTGGAATATTTTTTCCTATCTTTTTAGCTAGGCTTTTATATTCTGTAAACAGTGGAATCCAAGCTTTAAGACTCCTTTGCTCAAAAAAGTCAGTGGGCTTAGTAACTGCCACGTGATGAAGCTTCTGTTCCACCTGATGGCAGTATGCTTTATTGGCTTCTCTACTCTTCCTGCTTTGAAACCAGTAAAATCTCTGTGCCATTTTGTGTCAGTGAGCAAAGTACTCAGCTGTGTCACTACTCTCTGTGGTTTTCTAATGGTCCTCCCTGAAACTTGACTCTCTTCCAAGTGTTATCAGTCTACTTCCAGCTGTTGAATATGGGTACATTTCTTCATATATCGTGTCCTTCACTCTGCAGTCAAACATTTCTCACGTTCTTGTCTTGCAGTTACTGTTACACAAACCTTAGATAATGTATTTGTTTTCTAAAAACACCTCTCTGTTCTTAGCTACACAATCTTTGTGTCCAGCCTTTAATGAATAGCACTTCATGTAAACCCATCAGTCTGGAGCAACACTGTTCCCCTAGGTATGTAGGACTCAATGAGAGTAGGGAGATTCTTGGCAGGTACTTTCTATCCTTGTCTCCTCTAGCTTCCCTATTCTTGCACAGTGTTAATTGTACAAGGTTCTCTGGAGACATTCTCTCGTGCTGCTCCTCAGGGAATCAGAAGCACAGGGCATCGCTGTGCTCTGAAGCCCTTTGCTTCCAGCTTCTGGGAAAGTGAGGAACGGCCTGTTGCCTTTGCCTTGGGAAGGAGGAGGGTAGGAAAAGGTTTAGTGTGACACGAGTTGCGCTGCTTACAGCTGGCTGCCTTGGGGATTTGCTACTTGCTTTTGCAATGGATTAGGAACTTTTAATGAGGTGTGAAGTGAAAGCTGCAGGCTTTGGTTCAGGAAGGAGAATGCTTCTGGCTCCCGGGAGTACAGACACGACTGTATTTGCTGCAAGTCATGTGGTCTAACCTGCCGTTGCAGCACTTGGTCACTTAGCCAGCAGTTCTGACAGGATATTGGTAAAGGAGTGTGAGACTGAGTTTCTGCCCTGAATCTGCTGTGCTATAGACTGGGAAGGATGTTGAGGTGAACATGGTGTTCTAATCTGTTTTTGTAGAAGATGAATATGTCTGTTTTGACACAGAATAAAATTTAATAAGGGGAGAAAAACATAAGTAATGTACCTTTTAAGAAGTCTTAAGCAGGATAATCCTTAATAGGGTTCAGTTTTGTTCAGAACCAAGTGTATTTCAGTCACATTAGGGAGAGATTGGCAATTTCTTCATCATAAACAGATGCAAGTTATTCATAAAGACTGAAACATGACTGCAGAATTTGTCATAAAAGCTCCTTGAACTGCCTTCAGTTGTTCAAAAGGAGTTGGGTTTTTTTCTTAAAGTGACATTTGACAGGGCAAAGAGAATTTTCTTAATCTCTGCAAAGATGTAGGTCAGATTGAATCAGTTTAACAAAAGTTCCTACCTAGCCATCTTTATTTTATGAAAGGAGAAACTGAGGGAAAGATGCAAGTAGTGTCCTAGCATCTCATTCTATGTGTTATTTCTGTCCTGCCTCTGGTGAGAATCTTTACATAAACCAGAAGCTAATGACTGACATAACCCCCTTCATCCCTGGTTATGAAATATATAGGCTTAAGTCTAGTAAGTTTACAGCACTTACTAACATTCCATTTTGCATGTCTTAGCTGGGCATAAATTGTTCCTCAACTAGGCCACTTGTGCTCTAATTTGCTGAATTTGGCAGAAAAAAATACCCCATGAAACTGATGCTTGATAATGAGGGTTGGTTCTTTAGGCAACTGTGGTGCTTGTGTACCTGTAAATAAGACTAGGGGTTGTTTGGTCTGAAGCAGAATTTCAGATGAGTGCTTAGTTTGTGTTGCCTTGGTTTGGTGTTTTAAAAAAGACATTTAACTAAATGGATTTTGAACTTGCAGAGTAGTTAACATGCTGTTATACCTACTTGGAGCCATTGTTCCTATGCTATGTTCTTTTTCTCATTGCAGCACTCTTCCCTTCCACTGGCACTTGTAATGGCTCACACTTGGAGGGGATTACACTTTGATAGGGTAATCGCTTCACAGAGCCTGACTGTCAGCAGGCTTTCTGCTTGCTAAGGCTGCTGTCTGTTACTTAGCTGCAAAAGTATTCCCTGTGGCTTATGAATTTCTGAGGAGGATAAAGAAGTGAAGAAGAAAGCTTTGTAGGCCTTCGTCTGTGCACTGGTTCACTTGAACTTAATTGCTATATGAGACATTCACCAGTTTGGAGAAATATGTATCCTGTAAACTTCTGTATTGGACAATGTTACATCCATGTGCTTTCCACTCACTTATGTGGGAGGACTGTACACAGGTGCAACAAATGCCTTGGAAGCGAAACAGATTTTCTGTTACAGTTGGAAAAACCATTGGAAATAAAGCCTGTGCTACATAAGGGCTGTGAAATCAACTGTGCAAACCTGACACTCAGTTATTTGAAACTGAGCTATTTGTTGGGTCTTCTTCAGAAAGTCTATTAACAGATCCCAAGTTCAAAGCCATGGCCTTAGACATTATGCTTTCTGCCTTGTCAACAGGTAAAGTATGTGACTAAGACAGGTAAATTTTGTTGTGACCTTGATAGTAAAAGCATTGCATTGTTAAACACCAGAGCATCTACTACCCCTCATAGGTTTTTTTAGGGGTTGAATCCATAACCTCTTTGCTAAGGATCACACATTTCTTGACCAAAGCTGATACCCAACAGTGGAAATAATGCATAGTCTCTCTACCCACACAAAATGAACCACGTGAACATGGATTCCAGACCTGTTCAGGTGTCTGCATAATAAGAAGTAAAAAACAACCCACAAACAAAATTGTGAAAAACTTGTGAAATGCTTATTAAGTGTTACTTAGCACAGGCGAAGGAATGAATAACTAAGGAAACAGAATTCCTTACTGCTGTATTTGGACATACAGATTGGCAGTGCACTGGTGCCAACTTCTCTTGCTTCTGTGGCTGTTTGCAGAAGTTTTGCCTGAAGTCCAGCACGGGAAGTCCCAGTCAGAGTGCTGTGCGGACTCGGATCACAGACGTGATGTTCAGTGAGAGACAGCTGATCTCACTTTTCATTCCAGACACCTTGGGTGCTGGATGGAGGTGTCAGCCCAGCCCTGGGCTGTCCTGGTGCAGTGCTGTGAGCACTAGATGGGGCTGCTGCTCCACAGCATCTCTTTTGAAAATGTGTGTATGACACCCCTGAGACGGGAAATACAGGTGTTTCAGTGTGAGCTTTCTGCTTCCTGCTGCAGGCACAAAGCATGTAGGTGGGCTGAAACGTGGGAGATGGTGAATTGCATGAAACAAGACTCAAAATCCCCACAAGCAGATTCTCGAAGTAAAAAATAATGAAAATAACCTAAAATTAAAAAAAACCCTACACATTTTAGTAGTAAAAGAAACATATAACTATCTTGCTATATAGTTTTTCCAAGGAATAAACACTGTTCCTACACTGGTGCATATCCCTAACTCTCCTCTGGTTGTTGTCACACAGCTGAGAAGAAAATCTTGGGGGGGAGGCAGACTCAGCCAGGCAGAGCATATACTGTGCTCCAGCCACAACCTTTGGCTATCTTCTGCCAACTTCTGTCCCCACTGCTCATCACTATTTTGTGGTCACATGTGAGAATTTTCAGGAGTAAGAAAAAGGGCAGCAGTGGTGACAAACACTCAGAGGTGTTCTCAACACTCCTGAAAACTCATTCTGTTCTTTCACAGCCAGGTGACTGCTACCTCAGTGCAGCACCTGTCCTGGAGACTCAATTGGGACCTGCTTTTTGGTGAGGAGAAAATCAGGATGCTCTTAATGCCATGTGCTGTTGGTACTGTAATGCCTTCTGCCTCAGAGGCTGTGCAGAAACAATCATCCATTTTCCAACATTCAGGAAGGAAAAGTTGTAATGTGCTGAAACTTGATCGCTGAGAAAATGTTACCAGCTGTCTCCTCACCTTACAGCTACACTCTGTGACCATAGGATCATAGACTGGTCATGGCTCTTTGCTCTGGAGAACTATAATACTCTGACAGACTCACTTAATGTCGTGGAAGGTGTCCCAGCCCTTAGTGTTTTTGAGCAGTATTCTCTGTTTTCAGTGGGACTCCAGGATTAAAAAGGAAAAAAAAATATTTTTTAACACTGCCCACTTGGCTAAATGGCTAAATGAAAACTGATCTTTCTGGAAAACCTACAGTCAGCCTATACTTAGCACTTTAAGGCCAAAAGAGCCCACAAAATCCAGTACATTGCTACACAAGCTGTTAAAGCAGTGCCTCTTCAAAGAACTTCCTTTTTAATGCACAATTAAAGAATGAAGACAATGTAGGCAAAAGTACCAAAGTGGCAAATCATCCAGTGATTAATCAAGGTGTAAGTGTCCTCGTGCTGCTCTGACATTTTGCCCTACCTTGGTTGGAATGAAGACCTATTGGGTGGAAAGTCAAGGGTAGAGTTCAAAGTTTGTTCTTTAGTATTTGTACCTCTAAAAAAAAAAACCAAAAAAGTGAATTTGCTTACATGTTTTTCCCTTCAGTGGCTAAACATCCTGTCTGACTTGAGATCAACCCATCTCAAAAAGATACATAGTCTAAAAATCAGGAAACTTTTGACAGATCGTTTAGATGTAAGTTAAACCATTAAATACCTCGGCAGAGGAGATGGAGATGCTCTCGCCTGCTACATGGTGCTTACTTTCCAGTTACAAGAGACTACTTTCAATGCCATTAAATTAAATGCTTCTCAAAACTTCTTGCACTGACTTCCACCTCGGGTAAAACACTCGTTTGTGTGTAACTGCAAGCCACGAGGTGGTGCTCTTAGCCCACAGCCTGACTAAAAATGTAATTTTTTGGGTCCTTTTTTAGTATTGCACAGTAGGAACATATGGAGAAAAGCATGTTTTATAACAGGGCTAATTTGGTTTCTGCAGCAATCCCACCACACACAGTGCAGTCCAGAATGGTAAACAGTTTTTACTTCAATCAGTCATGCTGCCTTCAGAGGGTTTGAGAAGAACAATGTTTCTGGGAAAACCAGTTCAAAGAAATGGTTAAAAATCCAACGAAACAAAATAGAACAGCTACAGATGAGCTATGTGAATAATAAAACTCTGTAACTGAACACCCAGATGGCAATCTCACATCAAACTCTGTCTGCAAATCTAGAATTTCATGTTTTTCAGTTGGAAAAATAAGCAATTCTTCAGTTTTCCTTTGCAGGTGAGTGCTGGGATGTCTCACTACACTGCCCCTGCTCCCTGCCCCAGTTTATTCAGGTCTCAGAGAATTCCAGTTACATCGACAATGAAGAAAGATCTTCCAGGAAGAAAGACACAAGTCATGTAAATTGCGTATGCAAACACTACAAGGATTACTGATGGGCATCACAAAAACAGACACATTGTTACCTTTTACCTTCAACAATATAAATATGTATGTGCATTCTCATTAAAATACTTCCACAGCTGTACACAAGTAAGGAGTTCTTAGCAAAATGAAAGCCAATCCATTTTCCACAGTGGCTGTGAAACCTCCACAGCTGGAAACCAAAAAGACTGGAGTGATTTTCCTAGGGACGTAGTTCTACCAGCATGACTGAATTCGGTTTATTCCTTTTTTGGCTCTTCACCTTTAGATTCCATTAGCACCTCTTGACATGTCTTCTCTATATGTTCTTTGCACCTCAGGAAAGCACTTTCCAAGCGCTTCATGGAGCTGGCCAGGTCTGGGTTGGTACGTATGGCTACCATGTTATATGCTGTCCAGGTTGCCTGCACTGCAAACCCAACAGATACCACTGAAGCAGGGGGTTTGGCTGAGTAAAAGCAATGGCTGGTTTGAATAAAGGACATGAATTATTATTATCAGTTCAGATCTTATGCCAGAGAAGGCTTGCTGTAAAACAGAGTGGAAACTGCCCATAGTAAGTATTAACCAGACTGTTCATAGAATCACAGAATCATAGAATCAACCAGTTTGGAAGAGACCTCAAAGATCATCGAGTCCAACCCTACTGTGGTTACTAGCCCATGGCGCCAAGCGCCACATCCAGTCTCATCCTGAAAACCTCCAGGGATGGTGAATCCACCACCTCCCTGGGCAGCACATTCCAATGCCTGATCACTCTCTCTGTAAAAAATCTCTTCCTAATATCTAACCTAAACCTCCCCTTCAGTATTACTCCTTTATAAAGGTCTCCCAGTGGAAGTAGACTGATGTAAGTTATGGAAGGGACATAGACACTTCACCTAAAAATCACAACAAAACAGGTAATCAAATAGAAAGGTCCAACACAAGGTGTTTTAAAATACATGACCCAAGGAATCCTCTCTCCAGACCAGGCACAGCCAGGAGGCTTGTGTTAGGTGAGGAGGAGTCCAGGAGGCTGCAACATAGAAAAGGTTTTAAGAACAACTTCAATAATGAAATTGATTTTGAAGTTACGAATATCTGATAAAGCTGAACAAGTACTTGTAGCACTTATGTCATACTTTCCCTTTGGTTTTGCCATGAATTGGCTGTAGTTTTCTCAATGGCACTCATAAATTGTTTAATTACAGAAAGGTTAATTACCAGTTTCCATCTGTTGTTGTTAGCAGCACATAGTTTCCAACAGAATTGTTGTAGAAGTGGAGAGGAATGTGCAGCCCTCCCAGTCCATACAGGACTAAGGTTCAGTTTGCAGAGGAGTCTCTGTTGTAGCTGAGGAGTTAAACTCCTATTGCACGGGCCTGAGAGGTGCTGTGCATCCCTCTGTTTTCCAGAATGAAGTCTCATTGTACATACTGTGTTTTAACGATTATACATTAAATACCTTACTGGTATTTTTGCTTTTAACCAGCACCTTGAACTCAGAATCTGTCACCTATTGGTTTTCAGCTCTGAGCCAGCTGAAACTGCTGAATTACTTGCTTGCTTTTTCAGAATGAAGAACTTTAGGGCACTAGTTGATGGTGATTGTTTCCACTTACATTTTTGTCACACTGAAGTTTACAGACTAAATGTAAATAATAAATCTGCAGTGTCTTCACTCTAGTGGAAAAATCCATATCATTGTTAATAAAGACCTGTACCTGTTAGTTTCTCCATCTCCTCCAGAAGCTTTTCTAAGTCCCTGTTCAAGTCCTCCACCATCTTTACCATGGTATCATACTTTACTTCCTGAGGTTCTGATTCAGCCATCTACAAGGAAACCAGGAATCTCATGCTTTATTTTATTCTAAAGTGAGTTGACTGTCACAGCTGGGAGAAAGTAACATTGCAATAAAGTGAAAAAAGGGCAGTATATACATTTGAAGTTGACATGTGAAGTCAAGAAGAACCTGACTGTGAAGTTACTGCTCATCACTGCATGCTGCATAGCATTTGCAATCCATTCTGGAATTAAGTGGAAAGAATTGCACTCAAATGTGCTGTTTGTGCCAGATGAAGGTTTTTGTTAGCAGCAGTAAGAAACATCCCTGTGTCACACACTTTATTGGAAAGCTTTCTCTATCACCCTGTTAGAGTTGCTGTTCCCTCCCAAACACTGATGTAGGTCAACTCCTGATTTTCAAGGTTAATTGTAACCTCCCCATTTGTGTATTTCACACCTGCAGGCTCCAGCCAGGTAGGGACACAGGCCGAGTCGTGTCACCACGCAGGCAGCTTTGTGCGGGGGGTGTACTGACCTTCGCTTGAGTCGCAGGGAGTGAAATTTCAGGGTGTAATTGGGTCAAAACCACAAGCAATATAACTAAACGTTTTAGGGGCTGGATGTGGAAATGTGGCACAGCCTCCCTTTAGTTTCCCGTGCCGGGTGGGCTCAAATGCGAAGGATGTGGCAGCAGAGCCTGGCGGTGCCACACACACAGCAGGTACAGCCTCTGCAGCACAGCCGGGATCCGCGCTGCCTGC